TTCTCCCTAAATAAATTACCGCAAAAAATGTCCTTTTTCGCTTACCAGTCAATGCAATTGCATAGTACTACTTTCTGCCGAATGTCATAAAATGACTGGACGTCGTATGCGAAAATACTTTTATGCCACCTCGATGCGTGTTTTCCTTTTAGATCAGTACCCCCGGTTGATCGTAGTGTATCGCTTGGTTTTCAAGGATTCTGCGTCAGTTTGTTAGGTAAGTGCGTTTTTTCAATTATTTAAAAATGTTTTTCCCTCAACCTACTACCCACAATCTGTTCGCAATGACCGAACTAAATTTCTCACTAGAAATTCATTTGTTCACCACATAAGCCACTAATGTCATTCTGATATTCATTTATTTCTGTTGAATTTTTTGGGGCTATCGAGTGAATATATCTTCAGCAACCCTGCCATCACCAATAGTATGGGGTTTCATAGTGGACAGCGCTTGCATAAGATGGAATCGAACTTGTGGTGATTTGACTCGAGGTGCTTGTTCCATTTATAACAGTGATGCTTTACGACTAAGGACGCATATCACTTACGGTGTTATGAGGTGAGTTCACTACAACCTATCCGATGAATCAGTTCAATTCATCGAACCTCCTTCATCCTCCAAAGCAGAACCATATCCTCTGCTCAGTCACACAGCTGATGATTTATACATGATCTCAATGAATTTTAACTGTGCACATGTGAACTAGGAAAATATCATTAAGTACGGACTGACAATACTGTAAAGTGTCCACTGATCAGTTGTAGTGCATGATCGGCTGTGAATTACGAGTGAATTAAATCCCTTCGTGGTGTTTTAGATTAGTTTCGCTGATCTCAGATGCGTGGGTCTTCTATTACGCAAAGGACCTTCGCCTCACTGACGAAGACCCAGACCCAATCGTGAATGAAGCCGCTGCCGAGGGTGTGATAGATAAAGATCGTAAATTCTCACTGTAAATATTCCAGTTCATGAAAGTGCTACATTCAAGAACTTGATGACACGAATGCTCCATTTAATGAGAGAGCTCTTTGCACATCACTTTGTTTTATTTATGTAATGTTTGTATCAGTGAAGTATCGCGAGGCTATTGTACGTAGTTTTCCGCCTGTCGAGAATTTGAACCCTTGAGAATATTTTCATTTGAATAACAAAACGTTCATAATCACTCTGTCATCAGAATTCGTCCAAAGAACACTATAACGAATTGAATAGTGAACACATTATATACACATAAAAGTTTCAATAAATCGCTGCTCAATACAATCA